TCCACCACCGCCGCTGCCTCCACCACCACCGCTGGCACCACCACCACCGTCTCCGCCACTGCTGCCACCACCACCACCACCTCCACCACTAGTCCCGCCGCCACCCCCACTCCCTCCGCCGCCACCGCCGCCACCGCCACCGCCCCCTCCAGCTCCACCCGCGCCCTTGCCCCCCTTGCCCTTGCTGGAGCGACGTCTCCCACTAGGGGCAGACGCCGCGCCGACCGACTCAAGACCAAGCAGGTCGGCAGCAGCAGCAGAGGCAACAGAGGGCAGCAAGGGGGAAGGAGAGCACCCCTCAAAGATGGGGGTGCGAGGGTCACCACGAGAAGCACCTACAGCGACTATGCTCTTCTCCGCTGCGAGGAGGGCCTTCTCGAGGAGGTCGACGGTGAGGGTGGTGGGACAGACTGCGAGAAAGTGGTCCCTGACGACGCGAAGGGAGTCAGGGAGGCGCGCGACTACGTAGTAGAGAGCGATGTACATGTGGGGGGGGTTCTTAGCGCAGAACTCAGCAGGAAGGGCGGCGCGGTAGCGAGTGTCACTAGTGCGGAGGTGCGTAATGAGGTCAGCGACAGTGGGAAAGGCAGAGAGGTCAGGAAAGAGGTAGGGAAGCACGAGACGGCTCAGTGCAGCAGTGGCAGGGGAGGAGTAGCGCGCAACTACAGCGTCGTACAAGGTCTGAGCACTCTTGTACTGACTAAAGTGCGCACGCTCAGAGGTAGGGAGGTGGCGACGCACAGCAAGACGTGCAGCAGCATCGCGGGTGGCCCACTTAGAGCGGACAGCGGGATCAGCATCAGCAGCAGGAGCAGGAGAGGCGCCAGAGGTGAGGTCAAAGAGAGAAAGGTCGTCAGCCCTGTCGCACTGTAAGAACAGCTGCAGGTCGTCTAACCAGACCTCAAAATCAATGGCGCGACCCTCAGCGTCAAAAGCTAGGACACTAGGGGTAGCCATGGCGACGACAGCAACGCAGTGCAAGCAGTAGGGAAAGAGCTCGCAGTGTCAGTGGGACTGTGCTCACCAGGCAGGGCAGGTCGTGCAGCGATGCAGAAAGGCGGCTCAGCGACCGGGCGGCTCGGGTGAACAGCAGCTCGGCTCCCGGGCGGCTCGGCGGCTGGGCGGCTCGGGGGCAGGGCGGCTCGGCTCCCGGGCGGCTCGGGTGCAGGGCGGCTCGGCTCCCGGGCGGCTCGGCGGCAGGGCGGCTCGGGTCCCGGGCGGCTCGGCGTTGGGCGGCTCGGCTCCCGGGCGGTTCGGCTGCTGGGGCGGCTCGGCTGGGAGATGCAGGGGCGGGGCCGTCAGGTGCAGCGGCGGGTCGACCGGTGCAGTGGCGGGCCGGCAGGTGCAGCGGCGGGCCGGCAGGTGCAGCGGCGGGCCGGCAGGTGCAGCGGCGGGCCGGCAGGTGCAGGCGGCGGGCCGTAGGGTGCAGCGGCGGGCCGTAGGGTGCCGCGGCGGGCCGGCAGGTGCAGCGGCGGGGCCGTCAGGTGAAGCGGCGGGCCGCTGGGTGCAGCGGCGGGCCGGCAGGTGCAGCGGCGGGCCGGCAGGAGCAGCGGCGGGCCGGCAGGAGCAGCGGCGGGGCCGTCAGGTGAGGCGGCGGGCCGGCAGGAGCAGCGGCGGGCCGTAGGGTGCAGCGGCGGGGCCGTCAGAGGCGGCGGGCCGCTGGGTGCAGCGGCGGGCCGACAGAGGCGGCGGGCTGTAGGGTGCAGCGGCGGGGCCGTCAGAGGCGGCGGCGGGGCCGCGGCAGTAGAGGCGGGGCCGCGTCAGGGGAGGCGGCTGGGCCGCGTCAGGGGAGGCGGCGGGGCCGCGTCAGGGGAGGCGGCGGGGCCGCGTCAAGCAGGCGGCGGGGCCGCGATCAGGAGAGGTGGCGGGGCCGCGTCTGAGGGACAGCGTGGCCGCGAGGGAAAAGGCGACCCGAGGGGTCGCTAAAAAAAAAGGCGCGCCTCGGGGCGCGCTTCGGTGGGCCCTAAAAAAAACGGTCCTAAGGCAGGACCCGCTCTATACCATGTGAAGCAAGGAAAAACAGGAATGAAATGACTAAGTCAGAGTTGGGTACAAATACAACCCTAGAAAGCTGTACCCCATATGTGCTACCCCACTATAGCCTACAAACATGCATCAGTTATAATAATCCGACACTAAGTGCGAGTTTTTTAAGCAGGAGTTGGAGTTTTTGGGGCACGTGATCTCGCGCGACGGCATTAAAATCGACCCGGCGAAAATCAAGACCATACAGGAGTGGAAATCCCCGACGAGCGTCACGGAGCTCCAGAGTTTCCTCGGATTCGTAAATTACGTCCGGAGGTTTATCCCGAATATGGCGGGGATAACCGGCCCGCTGACCGACCTGCTGCACAAGGACAAGAATTTTGTGTGGGGGGAGGAGGCAGAAGCGGCGTTCCAGGAACTCAAGAATTTTCTCGTGTCCCCTCCTGTGCTGCGCATCGCCGACCCATCGAAGCCGTTCGAAGTTGTAACCGACGCCTCAGATTTCGCCATCGGAGCTGTGCTCCTCCAAGATTTCGGGAACGGGTTTCAGCCGATAGCCTACGAATCACGCAAGCTGCGGGCAGCCGAACGCAACTACCCGATCCACGACAAGGAGATGCTCGCCATTATACACGCATTTAAACTATGGCGATGCTACCTGGTGGGCGCCGACGTCACTGTTCGCACGGACCACAAATCCCTACAGTACCTGCGAGCCCAACCCAACCTCAACCCACGACAGATTCGATGGCTCGACTACATGGAGAGCCATTTCACCTACCGCATCACGTACAAAAAAGGGGCTAATAACATCGCCGACGCCCTGACCCGACCGACAGTACAATCCGCTGCAGTACTAATCACCCACTCGAACCCGCTACTTACCGGACTATTCACCCACGGCTACACGACAGACCCCTTCTTCACAACGGGAAATCATCAGCAGACTACGACGCAGAAAGGGGACTATTACCTAAAAGCCGGAACCGACCGGATTTGGGTTCCCGCTTACCGCCTGCTGCGTGAGCTTCTCATCCAGGAGATACATGATTCAAACCTCTCCGGACATTTCGAGGTCGATAAGACACAGAAACTACTGCACCGTCACTATTACTGGCCTGATTCCTCTAACGACGTGCAGCGCTATGTGTCCTCATGCAGGGTGTGCCAAGCAATGAAGTCGACACGTCAGCGACCAGCTGGATTGCTGCAACCCCTCGAGCCACCCGAACGACCTTGGCAACAAGTGACGATGGATTTTGTCACGGGGATGCCAGCTGGACCGACAGGCAACGACGCTGTTCTCGTCGTCGTTGACCGCTTCACGAAAATGGCGCACTTCGCACCATGCCGAACGACAATCACAGCCGAAGAAACTGCGCGACTTTTCATATCGACGGTCGTGCGACTGCACGGCATCCCTTCAGCGATCATCAGCGACCGCGACCCAAAATTCACATCCAAATTCTGGAAGGAGACATGGGCGCAATACGGCACGAAACTACGGTTCTCATCGGCTTACCACCCGCAGACCGACGGTCAAACAGAGCGGACCAACCAGACCATGGAGCAGTTAATCAGGACAAACTGCCCCGATCCTGCCCGCTAGGAAGACTCGCTCGCAATGCTGGAATTCGCTTTCAACAACGCACCATCCAGCACGATTAATCACTCCCCATTCTTCCTAAATTATGGGATGGACCCGGCGGTTCCGACGACAACTACACTCGACAATCCGGTCTCGCGTTCCCAGACTTTCGTGACGGAACTCCAGGAAGTGTGCGAAAAAGCCGCCGACGCAATTCGCAAAGCGAATATTACTTCCCGCAAATACACTAACCTTCTTCGCCGGGAACTCGTCTTGACTACTGGGCAACTAGTCCTCCTCGACACGAAAAACCTGAACCTGCCCGGCCCTGCGAAACTTCGGCCACGATTTTGCGGACCGTTCAAAATCCTCAAGATAGTGACACCTGTCACCGCGAAGCTGTTGCTACCCGACGATTGGCGTATACATGACGCGTTCCACATCAGCCTTCTTCGGAAGTTCGTACCTACCATGACCGACATCGCACGTCAGCAAGCGGCCCCGACAGCTCGCCCCGTCCCGGAGCCAACACTTGACCCTTCCAAGATTCTCGCTCATCGGGTCCGCCTTGACGCCGCTGGACGCCACGTGGAATTCTTAATTCGCTGGACCGACCGCACCAGTGAGGACGACACGTGGGTGCCACCCGCTTCAATGGACGCCTAGACACTTGTAGGTGATTATCTGGCGCGACGGCGTGTTTCGGCTATTGACTACCTTTCTTAAGGGGGGGGGTGGTGTAAGGAATTTTCCCGAATTCCTTATCGGGATTGACTGCTTCGCGTACAACCCGATTTTCGGAGTTCGCACGTTCGGCCGATGTCAACGCTGCCGAGGCTCCTCACGTCGCCTTCGGCTTTCCCATCGCCAAACCTGCACCCAACCTCGCTAGTCCGAGGTTTCCTCCTAGCTAGAGTAGTCCTACAAAAGTCCGTGCACTCATTGTATTCGCAGTTGATTCAGTCACAGCTTCGTTATTCGTTTACCTGCGCACTCTCTTTTACAACTCATAACATGAACCCTCATTTTCCATGATGATACAGGTTGGGTAGTGTGTTCTCTCACTCCGAAAACAAATTAAAAGAATGAACGGTCTTTACATTATGTACACGAGACTGGCCTACAGAATCTACCAAAAAATCATACTGCTACATTGAACTATGCATGCCACGCACCGACTACAGGAACTGCTACAGTCAGCAGTCATTAGTATCACATCCACACGAGTCACGTCAGCAGATCAATAGCACAGCAACAGAAGCACCACCACCACCACCACCACCATCCACCACCCATTGCACTGGAATCAGTCGGAGCGGAATGGGCAGTAGCAACTGAGTAGTAGCAGCAGCAGCATGAGGAGGAGGGGGAAGGAGCAAGCGACCAACCCACCCCAGCACCTCGTTGCTGCAAAAATGCTGGATGCTCAAGCCAACAGCTGAGCCTCAATCTCTCGAACAAAACTGCTCTCATCAAAACTGAATCCCTCAGGTTCACACCCTGCACCATCCTCAGAACCATCACCATCACCATCACCATCACCATCACCATCACCAGCAGCATCTGATTCATAATCTGCCGCATCATCTGCATCAAAACTCCCCAACGCCGCTGATTCTCCAACCCCCTCCACTCCCTCCTCCCCCCGCTCATCCTCCTCCCTCCATGCATGCGACACGGAGTCCTTCCCAGAAGCTCCTCCAGTTGCCACATCAGTTTCCTCCTCCCCTTCCTCACCTCCTCCTTCCGACTCCTCCACTGCTGCATACTCAAGGCCCAGATCAATTGAATCACAGCCGTTCATCCATGCAGATGGCACATCCTGCTGCTGCTGCTGCTGTTGCTTCCCGTTCCCCTCCTCCTGCTGCTGCTTCTTAACTACCTGTGTCTCCCCCTCCTCTGCAGCTCTAACACCGCTCTCCACCACTCTGGACCACGGACTGTACACAGATGGGGCAGCAGTGGAGCTCTCGTGAGAATCGGCTCGCACCAGCACCTGCAGACCCTCATCCTCGCTAAAAGCCTCCTCAATATAGCCCTCAAAATCGTCCTGATTTTCCGCTCCCTCCCCGTCCCCTGCCCCCTCAAGCTCCTCCAGCACCCAAGTGGGTAAAACACCCCAGTGGGTTGAAACACCACCCTGGGGTAAAACACCCTCACTGGGTAAACCACCCTCCTGGATGCGCGGAGGAGACGCCTTAAGCAACCAATCCAAGGGATCCGTTCCGTCTTCCCCTTCCCCCTCGTCCCCCACACCTTCCCCCTCCCCATCCCCTTCCCCTGCTTCCCCCGTTCCCTTTACCGTTTCAAGCCACTCTCTCATGGCACGTTTTGTGCTGCTAGAAACCTGCCACGTGTCCTCCAGCGAGCCCAGCCCAGCGATCCCTGTCCCTGGAGCCGCCACCTCAGCAGGTGATCCTGTGCTGGGAGCACACGCGCCCGCCAATCTCTGCGCCGGCTGGAGACCCGCCACGTCAGCGCCATTCTGGCGCTCCGGCGTGTGATACGGCGTCATGTGTGGCGTGTGATAAGGCGTCGAAGTGGCATCCAGCACTACAGCCGGCAAGTCAGCAACAGCGTCTGCTGCAGCCGGCAACTCCGCTACAGCCGTCGCGTGGGCCCAACCAGCGAGCAATCCCGCTGCAAGGCTTCCCGACACGAGGCTCGTCTCTGCATCTGCAGCACCTGTCGTTGCACCAGCAGGGTCCTTCTCCTTCTCTTCCGCTACGATCCCCTCCGCGTCACGCTTCGTCTCCTTCACTCCTGGAGTCTCGACCTCTGCCCGCGATGTATCGTCTGCCCGTGAATCTGCCCGCTGCGCTTCCTTGCCCGTCCGCAGACGCTTGCCTGCCCGCAGCACCTCCCACGTGTCACTTTCCTGGGGCCCTGATTCCCGCGGCTCGTCAACCTCCTCCGCGACTCCCGGAAGCCGATTAAAGCGGTCGTAGGGCGCCGCGACCATCCAATCACGAGAATCAGAAGCCAAACGCGGCCCCGACAGCGAGAATCTGTCGGAACGCGCAGCCGACTTTTCCAACCACGCGCCAGCGCTGGAGGAACCAGACGGGCCGACAAATCTCGGCTGGCGGAACGAGAACGAGGATCCGCGAGATGCGGACACGTCGTCAGAAGGAAAAACGAGAGTCGCCGCTGCCGTCGCTTCCGCCGCGTCAGCCGCTGCGACAACGTCTGCTCGCGAGTACTGCGCTATAAGATCGTTGATATGCGCCGATGAGTCGATTCGCGGCACGTCCACCGCATCCCCGTTATAGTCTTCTCCCGCATCATCTCCCGCGCCTGCTGCAGCCGCCGTCCCGAAAAGTCTGCCGTCCGCGTTATAATCTGCCGGATAAACCGAGAACGTCAGTCCGTGATTCCATAACGGATCAACGAACCGCTCCTCGTATAAAACCGGCGAGTCTGCCAAAGCGCCCGTTAAGGACCCTCCTAGTAAAGAGCCTGCTAAGAGTCCCGTATTCGACTCCCATACAGGACTCACCACACCGGAGGGACCCGACGGGAAGGCCACGTCAGCTTCCGCGGCTGCCGCAGGCAGGAGCTCCGGAAAAACCGATTTCTGAGTCGACTCAAGAAAAGCCGCACCGTGAAGCCGAGCCTGCTCTGCAGCACCCGCAGACGAGACGTAAACGCCGTTACTCTTGCCGTTCATCGTGCGACTGTATCGCTGTTCCTTACGCTGGGCAAGCTCTGAAAGCCCGTCTTGCCTCTCGTCTCTCCGGCGTTTCAACGAACCGCAAGCTAAATCTGAAAAACGCATCGCGGCCGAGTGCGTATTAGGCTGATATGATGCGAATCTGGGCTCTGAGCTCGCGTCTATCCAGTGTCGCGCTAAGCCTGCTGTACCACGCGCTTCTTCCGAGGATAACCAAGACATCGTTGCAGCAGGAACGGAATCTGTAATCGGAGTCAACTGAGACTGAGACACTCGTCCCGCGGCTGACGCGGGAGTTGCTGCAAACTGATCGCTAACGCGGCGCGTACTTGCAGCGTCAACGTATACTGCTGACGAGTTCTTTGCAGGCGTATGGCTGGTCCTTGCTGGCACTGACGTGGCGAACCCGTTTCTACAGGCGTGGGCTTCGGGGACGCGAGACAGAGGGTGAGAAGCGTCACCGGTCCTGTCGGGCCAATCGCGAACCGTACGTGTGATTGTCCGAGGCTTATGATGAGAGGTGTCAAGAGAGACTGTCCGAGGGTGTGACTGAGACGCGTTGGATGCGACGAACGTCATGCTCGAAGTTACAGCCGTTAGATGCTCAAAGCGAAGTAAGAGTTCGTGAAAACCAGAATAGGTAGCCTAGGCGAGGCGAGACTAGACAGGTCACGAGATATTACTACTAGGTGAAGTCTACTAAGGTTCTGGTGATCAAGGCGCGCGAGGTTTACAGGTGTCAGAAGAATTTCGACTTGGCCAAGAAATAAGCTGTCGATAGATCTCAAACGGTGACTTCTCGATAAAGCGTACTCTAAACCTACAAGGCGTCGGATTTACCAAACTGCGAAGAGTGAAGAGTCCAAAGATCCGGCAGGGTCAAATACTCTCGCCATCGCGATGAGACAACGATGTTTGTTGTGTGGTGTTCTCGGATCGGGTCGCGCGGGCCTGGGAGAAGCCGAGACAGGAGCTTTTGGCTTGACGGGGGAAAAGTCAGGTTGAGTGGACTGGAGAACAGTGGAACCGCTTTGGCTGGTCGAACAGTCTCTCCGGAGAGGTGTGACGTGGAATGGAAACTCAGAAGTTGGGTTCAACATAGAGATTAGCAGGAATTCTATCACGGTCAGTTCTGGTGCATTACGGTGATAGCTGGTTCTGGTTATAAACCGTGGAGAAGATTGGGTAACCCCTGAGTGAGGTGAGGTGACGTGTGAAGAGAAGCCCTGCACTGATGGGAGGGGCACACGTGACGTGTTTGGCTGGTGCGGGCGGTCGGTTGGTTCGCGGAACAGAACGACGAACCACTGGAACCCTCGAGGGATTTCCAAGTGGCTGCTGCCGTGCTGTCGCAGGCGTGAAAGGCGGTGAGGCGGCTCGGCGACGATTGGCCCAGTCTGATCAACCATCCAAGCAAGCTACGTCAGAGGACACAGCTGAGTGGCTGAAGGGCATTTCCTGTGGTTGCCATGAAGTGAAATTCGTGGCTGCGTCACGCCGCTTCTCAAGGTTTGCGGGTAGGTCACGAAATTTTGAGCTGAGCTCCCTTGACCGACAGACACATCACAATACCGAGGCGCGATGTTGATTTGAAAATCGTTTTAACAATTTCCACAGAGTCAAGTAGGTGCAGTTGGAAGGTGGCCATCATGCGACGAGGGAAGCGGTTGAGGGAATGGATGGGCCGATCGCTTCCCGCGGATGGTGGAGAGTCGTTCGATGTGGAGAGAGAAGGTTGGTGGGCATTCGTGAGCAAGGTTACCCACCTGGGTGCGATGTGCGAAAATGATGTGTCCGTTCCGACTTGTTGGCGATTCAGAGCGGTCAGAATCGGAGTTTCGTTCGTGCCGTCGATGTCAGTTTCGACTGTGTTGCGAGTAAGTTTGTATTTTTCGCCGAAGAAGGATATGAACATGATGATGCTTTCAAGGCGCAGGTATTCTCAAATTTAGGTAATCTCGAGCCGCCTTGTGCTTCATGGCCGACAAACCTGCCGTTTCTTGTTGATGGAACACGTCACTGCAGCGTTTTGATTGGCTATGTGCTCATTTGGGCCTCTTCACTTGCCCAGACAGTATTTTGAGTTCCATCAAACCTTTCAAAAAGTTCAGCTTCGAGCCCCTGCGAAGTTCCATAACCCAGATTGTTGGCGCCAAACGACCACGCTGCCGCATGACCTGGACCCGCTATCGTGTGTCGCACGTTTCTCTCAGGGGTTCACGACTGCAGGCAACACACAGATTGCCAAGTTTGCAAATGCCTCCTCCCTGTCAGACTCGGGCTTTCTGACAAAGAGCCAGCGCGGCAATAGCCCAGCCCACGATGGTGAAGTAAGCGAGATTCGACATTAGCAACTTATCGCGGTTGGACAGTTAATTATACTAAACAATTCAATGCGCAAGAGGTAATACACTTCTATGGGAGCGATGAAAGGATGAGAGAGATACGGGGTATTGGTGAATGCTCAACATGGCAGACATCTTGAGACGCTCAGGGTTGGGTTCAGAGAAAAACTAGTACCGAGAGTGCTCCATAGTCCGCAGGTTAGAGAAAATCGTCAATAGTATCACAATAAAAACAAGCACCACCAACCTATATCGTGATATCATTCCACACAATGCTCCGCTCTTGCCTGCACTGTAACACAACCTTCTCGAACATCCCAAGATTCAACTTCCCTAAAAACAGTCACAGCTGCCACTGAGGTGCCTTCTCTCTCTCCACCCCTCCCTGCACCACCCTGCTGCTCCTTCTCACCATCCCTCCTCTCCCCCCCACCCTTCCCCCCAGCCTCCCCTCCCCTCCCCGCAGCTCCCCCCTCCTCTCCGCCTCCACTGCCTCTCGCACCACCGTCAGCAGATTCTCTATGCCCTCCCCATCCCTTGTGAAATAGAAGGAAAAGGTGGATGAAGGGAGAGAAGAGAGCATGAGGAGAGGGAGATAAGAACACTCCGAAGGGGTATGAGGGGAACAAAGGGAGGGACAAATGCCTCCCTTGCCTCTCGCACCACTGTCAGCAGGCCCCCTCTGCCCTCTCCATCTCTGGTGAAATCAAGGGGGGCAGGGAAGAGGGGGAACGAGGAGCAAGAGGAAAACACTCGGAAGGGGAATGAGGGGAACGAAGGAAGGGACGAGTGGCTCCACTGCCTATCGCACCACTGCCAGCAGGCCCCCTATACGCTCTCAGTCCCTGGTGAAATCAAGGGGAAAGTGAGAAAGGAACGTGCAGACGGGGAATGAGGGAGGGAGGGAGACAAGCGGAGGCACCAGAACGCACAGGGGAATCTGTACATTCCCTTCTCGCTCTGTTGAGTGAGTGAGGGAGGAAGACAAGCGGCCTCTCTATCTCTGTTGAGATCAGGGGAATCAAGCAATGCCTCCGCTGCAGACTCACCAAAAGCTGAGAAGCAAGGGTAGGATCTGATTGTGCGTGGGTATCACCATCACTGTTACTGACTCACCGAGCACTGACTCATCCGCTTCACCATCCATGGTCACATCACCATCACTGTCGAAGACTCACCGTGCGCTGATGTGCACAATGGCAATGGGAGGCTCCAACCACTCAGCTGTCGATGCATCAGCATGAGCACTATCTGCTTCAGCATCCATACTCGCATCTCCTTCACTCACCCCTGCATGCACGAGCAGACTCACCGAGCACTGATGTGCACAATGGCAATGGGAGGCTCCAAACGCTCAGTTGTGGATGCTTCGGCATCAACATCAGCATCAGCACCACTATCCATGGTAACATCCCCATCCGATTCAGCATCAGCATCACCACCCCCTCTTGACTCCTCCCAGTCATCGTCTAGTCGGCTCAATGAGCCTTCATCGGTGTATGCGCGAGGAGGGGAGGAAGAGGGAGAGGACGAGGGGGAGGAGGAGGGGGAGGAGGAGGGGGAGGAGGAGGGGGAGGAGGTATCTTTGCTGGTGATGCTGGCGTCAGCTTGTTGACTTGCTGATGTCAGCTGGGCAACCTGACTTGTTAGGTCCGGGATGCGCTCACGAACCTGAAATGAGGTTTGGAAGGAAGGAAGGAGAGAGGGAACTGTTGGGAGCGTGAAAGCAAGAGCATGGAACATGCAATGACACATTTCTATGATGTTCTTTGGTATTGGCTTTCTTTTTGAGGCGCCTCAACCCAAAGCATGATGATTTGGTATGCTCTGGTATTGGACATTTGCATCAGACATTTTGGATGCTTGTTTGTTAGACATACATTCCTAGGGGTACCCACCATTAGGCATGCATGCCGTGACGCAATGCTATGGTGTGATATGGTATGGTATGGTATGGTATGGTATGGTATGGTATGGTATGGTATGGTATGGTATGGTATGGTATGGCATGGCATGGCACGGCATGGTATGGTATGGTATGGTATGGTATGGTATGGTATGGTATGGTATGGTATGGTATGGTATAGTATAGAATGGAATGATATGGTATGGTATGGTATGGAATGGTATGATATGGTATGGTATGGTATGGTATGGTATGGAATGGTATGGTATGGTATGGTATGGTATGGTATGGTATGGTATGGTATGGTATGGTATGGTATGGTATGGTATGGTATGGTATGGTATGGAATGCAATGATATGTTATGATATGGTATGATATGGTATGGTATGTTATGGTATGGTATGGTTTGGTATGGTATGGTATGGTGTAGTTATGGTATGGTATGGTATGGTATGGTATGGTATGGTATGGTATGGTATGGTATGGTAGGGTATGGTATGGTATGGTATGGAATGGTGTGGTATGGTATGGTATGGTATGGTATGGTGTGGTATGGTATGGAATGGTGTGGTGTGGTATGGTATGGTATGGTATGGTATGGTATGGTATGGTATGGTATGGAATGGTGTGGTGTGGTATGGTATGGTATGGAAACGTATAGCAAAGCAGGGCAAGAGGGAAGGCTCATCTCAAGTAGATCTATGTTGTTGACCATGAGAATATGGGGCCGATGTGATGGCCGATGGGATGGGCGATGGGATGGGCGATGGGATGGGCGATGGGATGGGCGATGGGATGGGCGATGGAATGGGATAAGCCAGGGTCTAATGGGTGACAGCGGAAGGTCAAGGGGGAGGGCTCACCTCGGGTAGGTCTATCTTGTTGAGCACGAGAATGTGGGGGCGGGAGGTGTACTCTGGGTTATACATTCTCAATTCCTGGGAAAAGAGACGGGAGGATATCGGCATTGGAAAAAAAAAACAAGGGGTTGGGAAAGTAAGGGGTTGGGAAAGTAAGGGGTTGGGAAAGTAAGGGGTTGGGAAAGTAAGGGGTTGGGAAAGTAAGGGGTTGGGAAAGTAAGGGGTTGGGAAAGTAAGGGGTTGGGAAAGTAAGGGGTTGGGAAAGTAAGGGGTTGGGAAAGTAAGGGGTTAGGAAAGTAAGGGGTTGGGAAAGTAAGGGGTTGGGAAAGTAAGGGTTTGGGAAAGTAAGGGGTTGGGAAAGTAAAGGGTTGGGAAAGTAAGGGGTTCGGAAAGTAAGGGGTTGGGAAAGTAAGGGGTTGGGAAAGTAAGGGGTTGGGAAAGTAAGGGGTTGGGAAAGTAAGGGGTTGGGAAAGTAAGGGGTTGGGAAAGTAAGGGGTTGGGAGAGTAAGGGGTTGGGAGAGTAAGGGGTTGGGAAAGTAAGGGGTTGGGAGAGTAAGGGGTTGGGAAAGTAAGGGGTTGGGAAAGTAAGGGGTTGGGAAAGTAAGGGGTTGGGAAAGTAAGGGGTTGGGAAAGTAAGGGGTTGGGAAAGTAAGGGGTTGGGAAAGTAAGGGGTTGGGAAAGTAAGGGGTTGGGAAAGTAAGGGGTTGGGAAAGTAAGGGGTTGGGAAAGTAAGGGGTTGGGAAAGTAAGGGGTTGGGAAAGTAAGGGGTTGGGAAAGTAAGGGGTTGGGAAAGTAAGGGGTTGGGAAAGTAAGGGGTTGGGAAAGTAAGGGGTTGGGAAAGTAAGGGGTGGGAAAGTAAGGGGTTGGGAAAGTAAGGGGTTGGGAAAGTAAGGGGTTGGGAAAGTAAGGGGTTGGGAAAGTAAGGGGTTGGGAAAGTAAGGGGTTGGGAAAGTAAGGGGTTGGGAAAGTAAGGGGTTGGGAAAGTAAGGGGTTGGAAAGTAAGGGGTTGGGAAAGTAAGGGGTTGGGAAAGTAAGGGGTTAGGGAAAGTAAGGGGTTGGGAAAGTAAGGGGTTGGGAAAGTAAGGGGTTGGGAAAGTAAGGGGTTGGGAAAGTAAGGGGTTGGGAAAGTAAGGGGTTAGGAAAGTAAGGGGTTGGGAAAGTAAGGGGTGGGAAAGTAAGGGGTTGGGAAAGTAAGGGGTTGGGAAAGTAAGGGGTTGGGAAAGTAAGGGGTTGGGAAAGTAAGGGGTTGGGAAAGTAAGGGGTTGGGAAAGTAAGGGGTTGGGAAAGTAAGGGGTTGGGAAAGTAAGGGGTTGGGAAAGTAAGGGGTTGGGAAAGTAAGGGGTTGGGAAAGTAAGGGGTTGGGAAAGTAAGGGGTTGGGAAAGTAAGGGGTAGGAAAGTAAGGGGTTGGGAAAGTAAGGGGTTGGGAAAGTAAGGGGTTGGGAAAGTAAGGGGTTGGGAAAGTAAGGGGTTGGGAAAGTAAGGGGTTGGGAAAGTAAGGGGTTGGGAAAGTAAGGGGTTGGGAAAGTAAGGGGTTGGGAAAGTAAGGGGTTGGGAAAGTAAGGGGTTGGGAAAGTAAGGGGTTGGGAAAGTAAGGGGTTGGGAAAGTAAGGGGTTGGGAGAGTAAGGGGTTGGGAGAGTAAGGGGTTGGGAAAGTAAGGGGTTGGGAAAGTAAGGGGTTGGGAAAGTAAGGGGTTGGGAAAGTAAGGGGTTGGGAAAGTAAGGGGTTGGGAAAGTAAGGGGTTGGGAAAGTAAGGGGTTGGGAAAGTAAGGGGTTGGGAAAGTAAGGGGTAAGGAAAGTAAGGGGTTGGGAAAGTAAGGGGTTGGGAAAGTAAGGGGTTGGGAAAGTAAGGGGTTGGGAAAGTAAGGGGTTGGGAAAGTAAGGGGTTGGGAAAGTAAGGGGTTGGGAAAGTAAGGGGTTGGGAAAGTAAGGGGTTGGGAAAGTAAGGGGTTGGGAAAGTAAGGGGTTGGGAAAGTAAGGGGTAAGGAAAGTAAGGGGTTGGGAAAGTAAGGGGTTGGGAAAGTAAGGGGTTGGGAAAGTAAGGGGTTGGGAAAGTAAGGGGTTGGGAAAGTAAGGGGTTGGGAAAGTAAGGGGTTGGGAAAGTAAGGGGTTGGGAAAGTAAGGGGTTGGGAAAGTAAGGGGTTGGGAAAGTAAGGGGTTGGGAAAGTAAGGGGTTGGGAAAGTAAGGGGTTGGGAAAGTAAGGGGTAAGGAAAGTAAGGGGTTGGGAAAGTAAGGGGTTGGGAAAGTAAGGGGTTGGGAAAGTAAGGGGTTGGGAAAGTAAGGGGTTGGGAAAGTAAGGGGTTGGGAAAGTAAGGGGTTGGGAAAGTAAGGGGTTGGGAAAGTAAGGGGTTGGGAAAGTAAGGGGTTGGGAAAGTAAGGGGTTGGGAGAGTAAGGGGTTGGGAAGTAAGGGGTTGGGAAAGTAAGGGGTTGGGAAAGTAAGGGGTTGGGAAAGTAAGGGGTTGGGAAAGTAAGGGGTTGGGAAAGTAAGGGGTTGGGAAAGTAAGGGGTTGGGAAAGTAAGGGGTTGGGAAAGTAAGGGGTTGGGAAAGTAAGGGGTTGGGAAAGTAAGGGGTTGGGAAAGTAAGGGGTTGGGAAAGTAAGGGGTTGGGAAAGTAAGGGGTTGGGAGAGTAAGGGGTTGGGAGAGTAAGGGGTTGGGAAAGTAAGGGGTTGGGAAAGTAAGGGGTTGGGAAAGTAAGGGGTTGGGAAAGTAAGGGGTTGGGAAAGTAAGGGGTTGGGAAAGTAAGGGGTTGGGAAAGTAAGGGGTTGGGAAAGTAAGGGGTTGGGAAAGTAAGGGGTTAGGAAAGTAAGGGGTTGGGAAAGTAAGGGGTTGGGAAAGTAAGGGGTTGGGAAAGTAAGGGGTTGGGAAAGTAAGGGGTTGGGAAAGTAAGGGGTTGGGAAAGTAAGGGGTTGGGAAAGTAAGGGGTTGGGAAAGTAAGGGGTTGGGAAAGTAAGGGGTTGGGAAAGTAAGGGTTGGGAAAGTAAGGGGTTGGGAAAGTAAGGGGTTGGGAAAGTAAGGGGTAAGGAAAGTAAGGGGTTGGGAAAGTAAGGGGTTGGGAAAGTAAGGGGTTGGGAAAGTAAGGGGTTGGGAAAGTAAGGGGTTGGGAAAGTAAGGGGTTGGGAAAGTAAGGGGTTGGGAAAGTAAGGGGTTGGGAAAGTAAGGGGTTGGGAAAGTAAGGGGTTGGGAAAGTAAGGGGTTGGGAAAGTAAGGGGTTGGGAAAGTAAGGGGTTGGGAAAGTAAGGGGTAAGGAAAGTAAGGGGTTGGGAAAGTAAGGGGTTGGGAAGTAAGGGTTGGGAAAGGGGTTGGGAAAGTAAGGGGTTGGGAAAGTAAGGGGTTGGGAAAGTAAGGGGTTGGGAAAGTAAGGGGTTGGGAAAGTAAGGGTTGGAAGTAAGGGTTGGGAAAGTAAGGGGTTGGGAAAGTAAGGGGTTGGGAAGTAAGGGGTTGGGAGAGTAAGGGGTTGGGAGAGTAAGGGGTTGGGAAAGTAAGGGGTTGGGAAAGTAAGGGGTTGGGAAAGTAAGGGGTTGGGAAAGTAAGGGGTTGGGAAAGTAAGGGGTTGGGAAAGTAAGGGGTTGGGAAAGTAAGGGGTTGGGAAAGTAAGGGGTTGGGAAAGTAAGGGGTAAGGAAAGTAAGGGGTTGGGAAAGTAAGGGGTTGGGAAAGTAAGGGGTTGGGAAAGTAAGGGGTTGGGAAAGTAAGGGGTTGGGAAAGTAAGGGGTTGGGAAAGTAAGGGGTTGGGAAAGTAAGGGGTTGGGAAAGTAAGGGTTTGGGAAAGTAAGGGGTTGGGAAAGTAGGGGGTTGGGAAAGTAAGGGGTTGGGAAAGTAAGGGGTTGGGAAAGTAAGGGGTTGGGAAAGTAAGGGGTTGGGAAAGTAAGGGGTTGGGAAAGTAAGGGGTTGGGAAAGTAAGGGGTTGGGAAAGTAAGGGGTTGGGAAAGTAAGGGGTTGGGAAAGTAAGGGGTTGGGAAAGTAAGGGTTTGGGAAAGTAAGGGGTTGGGAAAGTAAGGGGTTGGGAAAGTAAGGGGTTGGGAAAGTAAGGGGTTGGGAAAGTAAGGGGTTGGGAAAGTAAGGGGTTGGGAAAGTAAGGGGTTGGGAAAGTAAGGGGTTAGGAAAGTAAGGGGTTGGGAAAGTAAGGGGTTAGGAAAGTAAGGGGTTGGGAAAGTAAGGGGTTAGGAAAGTAAGGTGTTGGGAGTCTTGTTGAGGTGTTTTGGAAGAAGAAAGTGGTGAGAAAGGGACGAGGAAGGGGAATGCGTTGACCTAGGAGGGTTAAAGAGGGAGAAGCAAGCAGAGAGGCAGAGGAAGGAGTAGAGGCATATGAACTTCACCAGCACACAGATCAGGCGCGGCTCAGCATAATATTATCAGGTGTAAGTGACTACCTCAACTCACCTCACCTCACCTCACCTCACCTCACCTCACCTCACCTCATCCAGGTCAATACCATGACCCATCGAAACCACTCCTAACCTCTCTCAACACCACATGGTCATGAATAGGGTCGGGGACAGCGTATCCAGCACGTGCAGTAACACTCTCGAGAGTGCCTACCCCTTACCATGACCATCCACACCACTCCCCACCTCTCTCAACACCACGTAGTCATGTATGGGATCGGGCGCAGAGGCATCGAGCACATGCAGCAACACGCGGGTGCGGCGCAGGTGGCGGAGGAACATGCGGCCCAGGCCCTGGTAATAACGAAAAGGGGGGAAGAGGACAGGAAGGAAATGGGAGGTTACAGGGGAGAAGGGGGGTTGGAAGAAGCATCCAGCACGTGCAGCAGCATTTTTGAGACGTCTCAAAAATACACCTCTCTACAAGAAGCATCGAGCACGTGCAGCAGCACGCGGGTGCGGTGCAGGTGGCGCAGGAACATGCGACCCAGACCCTGATGGGGATGTGGCAGCGAGACATGCAATTGGAGGAAGAGGCAAGGTTGGGCGGAGAGGGACGGTTGGTTGGAAGCGAACAAATGAGAAGAGGCATCGAGCACATGAAGTAACACCCGGGTGCGGCGGCAGGTGACGGAGGAACATGCGACCCAGACCCTGGTAATGGTGAGGTGGGGTGGGGGGGGGAGGAGAGGGGGGGGAAGGAAAGAGGATGGGAGGGAGAAGGGCGGTTGGGAAGAGGAAGAGGCGGCGCAGGTGGCACAGGAACATGCGACCCAGACCCTGGTAACAGTTAAGGGAGGGGGGAGGGAGGAAAGCGGACAGGAGGGAGAAGGGAGGTTGAAGGAGAGAAAGGAGGTTGGGACGAAGGATCTAGCATGTGGAGCAGCACTCGGGTGCGGTGCAGGTGGCGCAGGTGGCGCAGGAACATGCGGCCCAGGCCCTGATGAGAATGGGGAAGCGGAGGAGGACGGGAGGGAGGAAGGACAAAGCGGAGAAGGGAGGTTGGGACGACGCATCGAGCACGTGGAGCAGCACTCGGGTGTGGTGCAGGTGGCACAGGAACATGCACCCCAGGCCCTGATGAGAAAGAGGGGAAGAGGATGGGAGGGAGAAGGGTAGTTGAGAAGCATCAAGCATGAGGTAGCAGGGAAGGGAGGTGGCGGGGAAAGGGAGGTTGGGGGTGCAGCAGCACTCGGGTGTGGTGTGGCGCAGGGGGCACAGGAACATGCGACCCAGGTCCTGATGAGAAAGAGGGGAATGATAGGATTCAAGAATGATTGAATAATGAGCCAAGGAGGCTCTATAGTACAAGCATGCAAGGAAGAGAGGAGTGGAGGAGGAGCTAACCCTATTGGCCACTAAGTTGACCAATGAATGGGTGAGGTGCCTTGTGGAGTAGGAAACCCTACAATGTAGCTAGGTTGTGATTGGTTGGTGTTAGGACCAAGAGTTGGCAAGTGCCAACCAAGGACCAAGACCAAATCCAATCTTGACCAACCACAAAGTGTGGTTGGTGGAGTGTACACCCAACCCCCCAAGAACATAAGGGACTACACCTATTCTAGCCTATGAATGTTGTATATAATGTACATTTACAACAGGGAAGAGGATGGGAGGACATGCAAGACTGGCAATCGCTACAAAAAGCTGCGATGCAGGCCATGATGACCCCAATCCCCCCCCTTTCCCCCCCCCCTCCCCCGTGTCTCTCTTCCCAGATCCACCAGGTTAGGCCCGTCTTGAAAGCACCCATATCGTGTACCTTGTACCTTCCCCTGAAACAGTCCTTTACCTCACACCCAAGCGCCCCTCCCCAGTACCCACCTTCCCCGCATGCGCCCCGTTAATCAGCCCTGGCAGATCCACCAAAGTTGGCCCGTCTCAAGAAGCGTAGCCTTGTGCCTTTTCTTCATACATTTCCTACCCCACATCCAATCAAACCCCCCCCCCCCCCCCCCCAGTACCCACCTTCCCCACGTGCGCCCCTTCTATCAGCCCTGGCAGATCCGCCAGGGTAGGTCCGTCACCAAACCCTACAGAGTGTGTACCCCGCATTCCCACCTACTCCCTTCCACATCCCAGTCCCCCCCCCCCCCCCCTCCCCAGTACCCACCTTCCCCACATGCGCCCCTTCGATCAGCCCTGGCAGATCCGCCAGGGTAGGTCCGTCGCCAAACCCCCCATCCGGACCAGCAGGGTCGGCAGGCATGCGGCCCAGGTTAGGCATGAGGGTCGTGAACGGGTAGTCTGCTATTTCCGGCCGTGCTGCGGTTACCGCTGCTAGCAGGGACGATTTCCCTGCATTGGGGAAGCCCTGATAGGGGACGGGAGGAGGAGCAGGAGTCAAAGGTAGGAGGGGGGATAGCAGCAGCAGCATGAGGGTCGCGAACGGGTAGTCTGCTATTTCCGGCCGCACTACGGTTACTGCTGCTAGCCGGGACGACTTCCCTGCATCGGGAAAGCCCTGAGGTTGTATTGCAAGGAAAAGGATGGGGAGTGTGAAGGCCTGGAACCCGGCAAGTGTTGCGGTAAGGATGGGGAGTGTGAAGGCCTGGAACCCGGCAAGTGTTGCGGTAAGGATGGGGAGTGTGAAGGCCTGGAACCCGGCAAGTGTTGCGGTAAGGATGGGGAGTGTGAAGGCCTGGAACCCGGCAAGTGTTGCGGTAAGGATGGGGAGTGTGAAGGCCTGGAACCCGGCAAGTGTTGCGGTAAGGATGGGGAGTGTGAAGGCCTGGAACCCGGCAAGTGTTGCGGTAAGGATGGGGAGTGTGAAGGCCTGGAACCCGGCAAGTGTTGCGGTAAGGATGGGGAGTGTGAAGGCCTGGAACCCGGCAAGTGTTGCGGTAAGGATGGGGAGTGTGAAGGCCTGGAACCCGGCAAGTGTTGCGGTCACCGCTGCCAGTAACATCGATTTCTTTTTTGAGTCGGCTCAAAAACTGGCGTGTGCTGCGTTCACCGCTGCCCTGCCTGCCAGTAACATCGATTTCCATGCATTAGGAAAGCTCTGATAGGAGGGGGGGGAGGGGAGGAGCGATCCGAGGGAGGTGGGGGGGAGGAGGGATGGGTTAGGGAAGGAGGTATACCGACAGCAGCATCAGGGTTGCGAAAGGGTAATCTGCTATTTCACACATCCTCCTTTCCCCCATGCTGCTACCTTACCCTGCCTCCCAGCTACCTCCCCTCATCCTCTCACCACAAGCCCCACATCAGCCACCACTCGCAGCGTCAGCTCCAACGCCAGCTGTCCCCCTCACCTCCTCCTTTCCTTTCTCATCCCCGCATTTTCCCCGGCAGTTCCCCCCTTTTCCATTACCCACTCACTCACCACAAGCCCCACATCAGCCACCACTCGCAGCGTCAGCTCCAATGCTGCCTCCTCGCCCCCCCCATACCTCGTTCCTTATACCCCTCCTTCACATGCGCCCCAATACTACTCCCCCTCCCGCACTCACCACAAGCCCCACATCGGCCACCACTCGCAGCGTCAGCTGTGACGCTGCCCTGCCTCCTCAGGCCCCCACCCCTCCTCTTTTCTCATCCCCTCCTTTCACCCTTCCTCCCAACGGTCATTTCCCCCCTCTTCCAAGCCCTTTTAACTCACCACGAGCCCCACGTCAGCCACCACTCGCAGTGTCAACTCCAACGCTGCCTCCTCGCCTTGCAACCCGTACGTCAGTTGCTGTTGGTGTTTGGGGGATGGAAGAAACGGACGGAAAAGGCCGGGGCTTCTCAAAAGTACGTCAGTTGCTGTGAGTGTTTGGGGTATGGAACAAACGGAAGGAAAAGGCGGGGAATTGGTGCTAGGAAAAGGAGAAGCACGTTCCTAGCGACTCTCTTTTCTTATCCTTTTATTTTTCCCTGATACCTTTTTTTAAAACGGTACTGATACAGTACTGGCTGATACTGTGACGTGTCAACCACCCACCTTCTCCCTGACCTCCGCCTTATCCTCTGGAGCACTCATCACTGTGGTTCCCGGTGGTGCCTTCACAGGCCGCAGGGGGGCCTTGTTGGACGCAGCAGGCAACCACATACCTGTCAACCCCCCATCGCTCAACTCAACTCATCCATACGCCCCATCCCACCCCTCACCTTGTCTTCTCGTGCGCCCCATCACTGTGGTCCCTCACCTCTTGGTGCCTTCACAGGGCGCAGGCGGGCCTTGTTGGACGCAGCAGGCAACTCATCACCTCCCCACCAAGTCACCCATACGCCCCCCCTCTCCTACCCCTCACCTTATCTTCTGGGGCGCTCATCCCTGTGGCTCCCAATGGTGCCTTCACAGGGCGCAGGTGGGCCTTGTTGGACGCAGCAGGCAACCACGTACCCTCTCAACCCCCACCAACTGTCGTGAATATACCCCACCTTGCACCCACCTTACCGTATCCCCCCTTTTCTACCCACCTTGTCCCAATGGTGCAGGTCCCTATTGACCAATCCCCCCCTATGTTCCCTATGTCCCCTATCCCACACCCACCCCTCACCTTGTCTTCTGGTGTGCTCATCACTGTGGTTCCCAATGGTGCCTTCACAGGGCGCAGGTGGGCCTTGTTGGAAGCAGGCAGCTCGTACACACTGATCTGAGGGGATGCATGGGAGTGGAGGGACGCGACGCGGGATTATGTGCGCGTGTTTTGCGTGAACAAGCAGTAACCAGTCTTTGCTGGTTACAGCTAGTGCATGCATCAAGGCCCTTCACTGGGCGCAGGTGGGGCCTTGTTGGAATCCGGCAGCTCGTACACACTGATCTGAGGGGGAAGGTAAGGGGAGAGGGGCGCTGATCTGGTCCTTGCTGCTGGTCCCTGCGCTGCGGGTGCCTTCACAGGGCGCACGTGGGTCGTGTTGGAAGCCGGCAGCTCGTACACAACACACTGATCTGATGTGAGGTGTGGAAGAATGGGTGGTGAAGGGGGGAGGGAGGGAAGTGGCGAAGATGGATCATAATGAAGATCATACGTGAAAGATAAAAGGAGAAACAGCGCCCACACCAAAACCCTGACGAAAAACAAAACCTTGAAATCAACTGCCCCTGCTGTCCCCTCCTCTTCCTCCTCTTTCCTGGCAGATCTGGCTCATCTCCCGAGTTTGCCAGTGACGGAATTGAGACTGAACTGATTGATTAAGAAAGAAGGCACTAGGCCTTAAGTACAAACGAGGTTGGGATGGGCAAGGCTAGGGAAAGGATGGGATGGGAATCCTAGCAAATCTCCAATTGGTGAGTTGGCAGATTTGCAGGATTACGAGGGAATCCCAACCAGATAGGGTTGGGATCACAAACTACACCCAACCCACAAATAACCTACGCGATATAGAATATAGTACACAAAGTGTTGACAGCCTAATTCTAACACACCCCCTAGGCTGCAACACATCAGCCACAAGGAGGCCCAACACCCATGGCCGAGAGGAGGCGGTAATGATCCTCGCGAACAAGCGACTTGGTAAACAAGTCAGCAAGGTTGCAGTCGGAGGCAATGTGTTCACCCTTCAGCTGCTCGCGCTGCACCAGCTCCCGAAGAAAGTAGTGACGGACTTCAATGTGCTTGGTGCGGCCATGGAAAACGGGGTCTTTGGTGAGATGAATGGTGCTCTCGTTGTCACACCAAAGCGTTGGGGTTGGTTGGGGATACCCCAGTTCTGTCAGCAGGAAGGGGAGCCAACGAGCCTCCTGTGCAGCCATGGTCCCGGCATACAGCTCTGCCTCACAGGTCGACAGTGAGACGGAGGACGACCGAGTGGAGCGCCAACTTACAACCCCACTGCCAAGGGTAAAGCAATACCCTTGGGACGAGCGCCGATCACTCTGGTCATCAGCATAGGATGAGTCACTGTACCCCTCAAGGCGAACCGGGGAAGTGCCGCCAAGTGTGAGCACATAATCCTGTGTGCCTTTGAGATAGCGAAGAATCCGCTTGGCGGCAGACCAGTGGTGGCGAGTGAAGCGACCAGGTGCAACGTAGCGGGACAGTACACTGACTGGATAGGCTAAGTCTGGTCGAGTGCACATCATCGCGTACATGAGGGATCCCACAAGCTCGGGGTAAGGCTCGTCACAGGGCTCAGGTGAGGGAACGGAGGGTGCAGTGAGTTGGTGTTGCAGAGAGAGTGGGGTGGGCATTGATGCTGCTTCCTGCATCTGGAACCTCGTCAGAACGTTGTTGATGTAAAACTTTTGCGAAAGGGTGATGGTGCGGGCTGTGCGATCACGTGTGATTTCCATTCCCAAATAGTTCGTCAGCTTCCCAAGGTCCTTCATGGCCAGCTTCTCACCAAGTGCGGTTTTGACTGCTGCCAGCTCAGTCTGATCCTTGGTGACAAGGATCATGTCATCGACATAAACGAGGATGAAGAACCGGGAGGCTGTTGCTCCGATGAAGAGGCTGGGGTCAGAGGTGGATGGGTGAAAGTCGAGGGACCCTAAGGTGCTCTTTAGCTTGTTGTGCCATTCCCGGGGAGCTTGCTTGAGGCCATACACTGGCCGATTCAGCTTCCATACAGTGCCTGGTGGAAAAGGAGTTGGAAATCCTTCGGGCCGCTCCATATAGATTTCCTCTCGAAGGATCCCTTGCAGGAACGCAGAAGACACACCCATGCAGTCAACCTCCATGTCATCTCGAGCAGCGACATCGAGTAGAGTGCGCAGTGTGGGAGGTTTGGCGGTGGGAGAGAATGTCTCAAAGAAGTCCAGTCCACGCTTTTGGGTAAATCCCTTGGCACAGTACCGGGCTTTGAAGACAGGAAATTCGCCTGGAAGTTGTTTCACCCGAAAGACCCATTTTCCCTTCACAATGTTAACGCCGGAGGGAGGAGAGACGTCTGTGAAAGTTCCTGTGTGAATGAAGGCCTCACATTCTGCGACAATGGCCCCCATCCACTGAGCGGCGTGAGGACCAGAGACTGCTTCAGCATAGGTGAGAGGTGTGGGGATGGAAGGGTTGTCGGAGAAATTGAGGGTGGGAGAGTCTGCGATGTCTGGAAAGAGGGAGCATAGTGCGTGGATGGCTGAGTCGATATCAATCAACTCCTCATGTCTGTCTTCAAGGAGGGATGGCATGAGAGAATAATCACCCCCGACAGGAGGAGGATTGAGAGAGACGCGAACGGAAAGGGAGAACGGTTGTGGAGGTGTGCGAGAGCGGGTGCGAGAAGCGATGGGTGAGGGAGGCGGGGCCGGAGTAGGCGTAGCGGAAGGGGAGGTGGGGGTGGGAGGGAGAGTGGAGACAGGATCGGGATCAGGGGTGGGAGCAGGAGGAGGAGGAGCTGGGTGACGGCGTTGGTAGGTTTTGAGAGGAACGGGCTCGGTAGGAGGAGATGCGAGAGGAGATGGAGGATGGGTAGCGGAGGAGGGAGGGAGCGAGGGAGACTGTGTGGTACTGGAGGGGGAAGCGGGTGATGGGGGATCAGAAATGGTGGAGGGAGCGGGAAGAGGAGGAGATGGAGTGTCGGGAAGAGGGAGACTGTCAAAGTCAGCCCAAGTAAGAGAGAGAGGCGGAGGAGAGGGGGAAGCATTGGAGGAGGGGTAGAATGGGTGGGACTCATCAAAGTAAACGTCCCGGCTGCGATAGAGCTTGTTGGTGGAAGGATGGAGGAAGAGATAGTCTGGCGAGTCTAAGTTGTGCCCGAGGTATACGCACGTGATCGTTTTGGGAGCAAGTTTGCCACCAGCCGCACGACGGGCTTGGGAGTTGAGGAGGACATAAGAAGTGCACCCCCATACACGAAGAGGGCGGACGGATGGCCTTTGACCCGTCCATAGCTCAGCGGGGGTGGTGTGGGTGTGATGAGGATGGGGATGGAGATTGTGGAGGGCGGCAGCATGAAGCATGGCGTACCCCCAGAGAGAGGGAGGGGCGGAGGCGTGCGTGAGGAGGCAGCGAGCAATCTGCACCAATGTACGGTTCCGGCTTTCGGCAATACCGTTCTGTTGGGGACTGTCTGGGAGAGTGAAGGTCTGACGGATACCCTCAGTGGAGCAGTAAGCTTTGAGAGTGTTGTCGCGGAATTCACCGCCGCCGTCAGAGTGAAGGACCTTGATGGTGGTTTTGAAGTATTTATGAGCCTGCTTCGTTCATTCAATGATTACGCCTGGGGCTTCGGATTTGGAGGAGAGAAGGTGGACAGACACATAGCGGGAGTAGTCATCAATAATGACAAGGAAGTAAAAGTGTCCACCGCGAGAGCGAACAGGAGCTGGGCCCCAAAGGTCCATGTGCACGCGATCGAGAGGTGCAGCGGAGATGGACTCAATGGGGGGATGGGGCTGTTCACAAAGCTTGCTCTGTGCACAGTCAAGGCAAGGCAGCCCTAGGGTGGAGGTAGGAGAGGGAAGTGAGGTTGGAAGCCCGTGGAGGAGTTGTTTTGTGGCAAGGTCTGAAAGCGCGCGAAAGTTGATGTGGCCAAGGCGGTGATGAAAGAGCATGGTTTTGTCGGAAAGGAGGCGGCAGTGACAGGTGGAGGAGTCAAGGGAAGGTAACGGGAGGTTTGTGAGGGAGCACGTTTGAATGGGAGGTACTACGAGCGTGTATAGGTTGTTGGAATTGAGAGTGAAGCGGGCTAGATGAATGCCGGTTTTGGCGTCAAAGAGGTCACAGTAGTCGACATCATTAGGAAAGATGGTGATGACTCCTGCTTGTTGGATTTCACTTTGTGCCAGGAGGTTGTGGCGGAGGGTGGGGGCACAGATGCCAGTGACTGTGCCCGATGGAAATGCTGGACAAGGAACTGTGGAGGACCCATGGCATTGGATGGAGAAGCTAGAGTCGGCTCCGAGGAGTGGGATGGGAGCCTGGTAAGGAACGAACGCGGTTTGGTCTTTGAGCACTGTGTGGGTGGCACCACTGTCTAGTATGAACTCGATCCCTTGTGTGTTTGAAACCCCGATGTACTGTGACCCCTTCTCATTAATAAGACCAGCACCTGAGAACAACAGGTTGAGGCGAATATCAGATGGGGTGCTATCAACTGAGGGACTAGGCACCTCCACTGCCTCGACATAGTTCACGCGACGGGGTGGGGCCCAGTTGGGAGGGCGCTTGTTGGTGGAGACACCATGGACGTCGTACCACTCATCATCTCGCTTCTTGAAGCAAGTTGCCTCAGGGTGGTTGGTGCCTCCGCATTTCTGCCCCGCACGTGGGCCTTTCCTAATGATGTAGGGGCATGGGGGAAAGGAGTTGCGCCTTGGTCCTTGTTGGGAGCGGAATGGGATTCCAGGGGTGTAGCGCACAGCATTGACGGATGCTTAGGCTGCAAGGTCTTTTTCGGCGGAAAGGAGAGCTGATGCGACTTTTTCGAAGGTGAGTTTCTTGGTGGGAAGTTGCTTGAGCATGGAGCTGGTGACATTGTAGGCCGGGGTCAGTCCTACAAGTAGGCCAGCTGCAGGTGCTTGTTCGGGGAAAATGATCCCAATGTCCTTGAGTTCCTCATGGATGTTGCGGATTTCAGAGATGTAATCTGCCATGCCAGGGCATTCCTCAAGGCGGACCTGGAACATTCGAGGGATGAGGATGGCAACACCCATTGCTGTCTTGTCATGGAAACGGTCCTGGAGGTACTTCCAAATCGCATGAGCGGAGCGAAAGGTGCGGTAGGATTTGACGAGCTCAACCGGAGTGGTGGTGATGAATACCCTAATAACTGCTGCATCTGCCTGCTCCCACACACTGAAATCAGTCTCGTACTTGGTGGTCTGAGCGTCAAAAGCGGCCTTCTCTGCGGCAGTGGCGCCTTCGCCAAGGGGATCGGGAGGGAGAGGCATCTTTCCCTTGCCGCGGTTGAGGAGGATGTCCTTAAGGCAAATCCCTTTCAGTTCCGTACTAAGGAGGTGCTTCTCCACCCCATAGCACCATTCTCCAAAGTTGGTGCTCGTGCCGTTGGGAGCGAGGTTGAGAATGATGAGGTTTACGACGAGGGTAGAAGTTGAAGTCGCCATTCGCGCGGAGCGCAGCGCTAAAGTCAACGATACGAAGCGGAGCGAAGCGGAGCGAAGTTGATTGAAGTCTGAAATGCGGAAAGGTGCGATTTTGCCAATAAGATTGCGATTCCTGTTCTGCTTCTCTGCTTCGCCGATGACCCCTTTTCTGCTGCGCCGATGACCTGTTCCGCTGCGCCGCTGACCTGTGCTGCTGCGCTGCTGAACCTGCTCTGCTGCGCCGCTGAACCTGCTCTGCTGCGCCGCTGAACCTGTTCTGCTGCGCCGATGAACCTGTTCCGCTGCGCCGCTGAACCTGCTCTGCTGCGCCGCTGACCTGCTCTGCTGCGCCGCTGAACCTGCTCTGCTGCGCCGCTGAACCTGCTCTGCTGCACCGATGAAAACCTGCTGGAAGTTTCGAATGTGAGAAAATTGCCACGGAAATTTGAAATTTCAGAGCTTACGATGAAGGAAATTGACGGAGAAATGTGCCGCCGTGGAAATCGAAAATGCACGTAGACGGAGCGGGAAAGCGCTTTTGACCAGTGCGACGATGTGAAGACGAAAAAATGCTAAGCGAAGAAGGCGTGAACCAAGAACGCCATAGCCGAGAGAAAGGGAATGATCGCGACGCCAAGGATCGGATTCCGCGTGAGCGGAATGTGCTAGCTCGATACCATGACGGAATTGAGACTGGACTGATTGATTAAGAAAGAAGGCACTAGGCCTTAAGTACAAACGAGGTTGGGATGGGCAAGGCTAGGGAAAGGATGGGATGGGAATCCTAGCAAATCTCCAATTGGTGAGTTGGCAGATTTGCAGGATTACGAGGGAATCCCAACCAGATAGGGTTGGGATCACAAACTACACCCAACCCACAAATAACCTACGCGATATAGAATATAGTACACAAAGTGTTGACAGCCTAATTCTAACAGCCAGATCTGCCAGGAAAGGAGGAGGAAACAGCAGCACCCTTACCAACCTTGCTTCCCCAACTCAGCCCCCTCTCCCCCTCCGTTTAGATCCTAGACCTAACTCACTCACCCCTCCTCGTCCTCTTCTCGCCACCACCACTTCATCTCCTGGATTCGCCAGATCAGCCAGGAGTGGAGGAGGGACAAACAGCACCCTGACCAACCCTTGCTTCCCCAAATCAGGCCCCCTCCGCTCCTACTTTTTAACCCAGACCAGACTCAACTCACCCCTCCTCGTCCTCCTCTCGCCACCACCACTTCATCTCCCGGGTTCGCCAGATCTGCCAGGAACTTGCCTCCTCTCTTGCGCTTCACCACCGTGCCTGGTGGAGAGGTTGAAAGGGGTGGAAAGTGGTGGAAGGGAGTGGAAGGAGGGTTTGCCAAATCCGCCAGGAACTTGCCTCCCGGCTTGCGCTTCACCAAAGTGCCTGGTGGGTGGATGTGAAGAAAGGGAGGAGTGGAAGGGGGCAGGGGTGGGAGGGGTTGGGAGGGGGGTGGACGTTTGCATTGGAAAGGCTTGATTGATCAGCCAGGAACTTGCCTCCCTGCTTGCGCTTCACCACTGTGCCTGGTGGGGGGGTGCAGCAAGGGGAGGGGTTAGGTGAGAAGGGGTGGAAAGGGGTGAAAAGGGGTGGAAATGAGTGGGGAAAACAACCATTAGCCAGGAACTTGCCTCCCCGCTTGCGCTTCACCACCGTACCATGCCCTCCACCCCTCTGCTTGTGAGGGAAAGGGTGAGAGAGAAAGGTTCTTACCTACTGGCACGCCTATCCGCAGCACAGGCCCCTGCAATCCGTCAGGCCCTCTCCTTGCCTGCCCCCCCTTGGCGTCGTCGTGCACTCCACTCCACTCCTCCAGGCACGAGAGTGGTGTGTGCTAAATGGAACAAGACTTACCTACAGGCACGCCTATCCGCAGCACAGGGCCCTGCAATCCGTCAGGCCCTCTCCTTCCTTGCCAGCCCCCCTTGGCATCCACGTGTCCTCCACTCCGCGTCACGCAAGAGAGAGGGGTCTGTTGCTGGCACAGGGCTTACCTACTGGGACACCTATCCGCAGCACTGGCCCCTGCAATCCGTCAGGCCCTCTCCTTGCCAGGCCCCCCTTGGCATCCACGTGTCCTCCGCTCCTCGCCACGTGCCGCTTCTTGCGGTGCAGCGGCAGCAGCGTGGAGAGGGAGGGATCAGCATAAATCACAATGTCTCCCCCATGCCCTCCCATGGGCACGATCGCCAGCCCATCCGCGTCCCTCTTGAACGTGCCCACCCTCTTCATTGCCTTGGCCTTTTCAGCCTCTTTCCTGCGGTTGGTTGGAGGGGGAGAGCAGAGGGTAAGGAGAGAGAGGAGGCCACAAACTTGGTCCCGGTGCAGTGGCAGCAGCGTGGAGAGGGAGGGATCAACGTGAAACCCACTTCATAGCCTTGGATTTCTCCGCTTCTTTCCTGCACGTGGGGGGTTTCAGAGGCAGCGGCAGCAGCGTGGAGAGGGAGGGATCAACGTGAAACCCACTTCATAGCCTTGGCTTTCTCCGCTTCTTTCCTGCACGTGGGGGGTTTCAGAGGCAGCGGCAGCAGCGTGGAGAGGGAGGGATCAACGTGAAACCCACTTCATAGCCTTGGATTTCTCCGCTTCTTTCCTGCACGTGGGGGGTTTCAGAGGCAGCGGCAGCAGCGTGGAGAGGGAGGGATCAACGTGAAACCCACTTCATAGCCTTGGCTTTCTCCGCTTCTTTCCTGCACGTGGGGGGTTTCAGAGGCAGCGGCAGCAGCGTGGAGAGGGAGGGATCAACGTGAAACCCATTTCATAGCCTTGGCTTTCTCCGCTTCTTTCCTGCACGTGGGGGGTTTCAGAGGCAGCGGCAGCAGCGTGGAGAGGGAGGGATCAACGTGAAACCCACTTCATAGCCTTGGCTTTCTCCGCTTCTTTCCTGCACGTGGGGGGTTTCAGAGGCAGCGGCAGCAGCGTGGAGAGGGAGGGATCAACGTGAAACCCACTTCATAGCCTTGGCTTTCTCCGCTTCTTTCCTGCACGTGGGGGGTTTCAGAGGCAGCGGCAGCAGCGTGGAGAGGGAGGGGTCTGTGTGAATCACAATGTCCCCCCCATGCCCCCCAATGGGCACGATGGTCAGCCCAGCTGCGTCCCTTTTGAATGGAGACGGTGATGGGAGTGGGGATGGACAAGGGGTTGCAGCGAATAGCACACTCCCCCTCTTTCCTCACACTTACTGTGTGGAGAGGGGAATTGTGCTCGCCTCTCTCTCCCTCTCCTCACCCCCCATGTATCTTCACTCTCCGGCTTTCCATTAACATACATGCCCTTCCCCCACTCTCCCGCAGTTCTCCTCTCCCTCCCCCAGCCTCCTCAATCAATCACTCCCCTCCCTCACCTGCGAAGCTTCCTCCTCAGTTCCTCCGCCTCCCTCGCGTTGAGCTTCCCTCCCTTCAGTCCAGGCGTCTCCCCCGCCTTCCATGGCCGTGGGGGGTGCAGCACTGCGCCGTTCCCCCCGTCGCCTGCTTTCACAAAGATGACCACCTGAATGCCAGGAGAAGAGACAATCACAGCAGACATGGATACAGGGGAACAGGATTAGCCCAGGCGTCTCCCCCGCCTTCTACGGCCGTGGGGGGTGCAGCACCGCCCCGTTCCCCCCGTCGCCCGCTTTCACAAAGATGACCACCTGAAGTCTGGAAAAAAAAGAAGTGTTTTGAGACGTCTCAAGATGACCACCTGAAGTCTGGAAAAACAAAAAAGAGCACGGACATGGGTAGAAGGGAACAGGATCAGCCCAGGCGTCTCCCCCGCCTTCTACGGTCAGGGAGGGTGCAGCATCGCGCTGTTGCCCCCATCCCCCACTTTCACACAAAGTACCACCTGAAAGGACGGGAAGGCAAAGACAGACAGGGAAAGGGTTTGACCAAGGGTTTGACTCTCGTTGACCCAGCTTGCCCACATCTATTCAGGGTGCAACCCCCACTACTCCTTCCACGGTTGTGGGGGGTGGAGAACGGTACCAGTGCTGGCCTGTTTACACGAATAACGCCACTTGAAAGGAGGAAAGGCACTGTACGCGTTATAACCGTCCATGGTTCCATTCCGGGGTTGAAGGTTTAGGATATAAACAAGGGTTTTACCCCTAAGCGGGTTTGACGGTCAAAAGTCACCATGAAGACACCTGACTAAACACCCGCCGTTGACCGCGAAATATACACCACAACGAAACTATCGCACGCCAGTCAACAAAGGTCAACGGAAGTCAACGGCAATCTCACCTGGTCAAACAGTTTGTGGGCCTGTTTCAGCTCCTCCTCCCCTCCTTCGCCCTTCGCAGCAGCCGTTCGAGACGTCTCAGAAGTCAACGGAAGTCAACGCCAGTCTCACCTGGTCAAACAGTTTGTGCGCCTGCTTCAACTCCTCCTCCCCTCCCTCGTCCTTCGCAGCAGCTTTCGTCGATCCAGCGCCAGCAGCCGCGGCAATGATACTATAACGAGAGTGACGCAGATTCTCGCTCCCCTGTCCCGCTGGTGTGACTGTACGCGGAATGTGTGAACCAGGTCGTAGAGAAGGACACGAAGCTGAGTTTCTTGAACGAACTGCTCGCGCCTGCGTGGCAGAAGCTGATTGGAAGAATATTGGGGAGGGAGATTGAGCAGGAGCCTGCAGATAAGCGGTTCTGCACGGTACACACGAAATGCGCGAGCTACTCCTTGATCCTAGCGAAACTGGGGTTACTCTTAGCGACGCTCCGAAACTTAATCGGTCTGCGTCGAAGCCCGACGACGGAACGAACGACATTCGCGACGCGGCTTGTTGCATTGCCGCCATGACAACAGCTGCAGCAGCGACACCTCCACTTGTTTATCAGCTGAATTTTCTGAGCCTACAGAATTAACCAGCTGATTATTCAGTTATAGTAGCGCGGAACCAGCTGATTGCTCGAACAGAGGGGTATGCTTGGTGACTGATTAGCAAGCAATGAGTATCTGTCTTGGGAGCGAATCCAGTGAAAGAATTCATGGGCTTTCAGGGACCTCGAACTTTATTCAAAAAGGGGGAAGGCAATTGGCTGAATGTGAGGTTATAACAAACCTAGAGTGCAATACAGTTCAGCTGGTATATTCTCGTTGTATACAGGACACAATCTCTCTATAAAAGGTATGCTCAATAAGTTTCTTTGAGTATTTCGATAAAATATATTTTAGGTCAATATACACTTCAATGCGATTTCCCCGTTACCGAATTTCAAGCTAGCAATCAAGCAAACCATTTTAGGGTTTCGTTGAAAACGCCAGCAGCGAGAATTCTGGAAGCAGCGAAGGTTGTTGTAGGGAGCAGCAGGAACATCCGACGCACCAGCCCCTGCCGCCAATCCCGCCGCCGATCGCTCTTCGCTGTCCCGCACTCTCCCACCGCCGACCGCGCTCGCCATCCCATTCCCATTCCGTCCTTGCATTTCTCCGCATCCGATACTAGTTTCAATCTTCACATCTCACACACAGATCGCCCTCCCGCGGTCCGCCTTCGGCCGATCCTCTCCGCCGATCCCTTCCGCCATGGCTCCCCCCGCGGGCACCTCCCTCCTCGCGCGTGCGCGCCAGGCGCTCGCCAAGTACGTGCGCCCGCCGTGGAACTACACGGGGCCTACCGCGTCCGCGGAGTTCCGCGAGTCCGTCCCCGTGCTGGGGGAGTACCGCCCCTTTGCGCCGACCAACCCGCCCGCCAAGGCGTCGATTCCGCAGAGCGATCTCGACCGCGTCTTTAACATTAAGTACCACGACCGCGAGCGGCGCCGCGCGGTGTTCGAGACTAAGAAGGAAGAGCTGACCGTTGCGCAAATCATGGAGGGGATCCGCGGAGGCGGAGCGAGCGCGGAGGCTTCGGGGGAGGCTGCAGGGGCGGGAGGGAGCTCAGGGGGGGGTTCCGCGGAGTACGCTCCGCCGACCCCCGGGAAGTGGTACTTTTACGGGCAAGAGCGACATTTGAACGACTGCCCTGGCGACGGTTACCAGAAGTGATGTGCGAATGCGTTACAGTGGATCTTCGTCACATTCTTAGGTGATTTCTGGGTCTTGATTCAGTTCGTACTGTTTGAGTAGGAATATGAGAGTGGAATCGGTACTTCGTGGTGTGTACTCCTGGACGCATCAAACAGTGTAATACTTTAGTGTTATTGATCCTGTTCCTCGGTGCGTTGTGATGTATGAAAAGTTTCTTCGCTGGCAGGGAAACCCTCTTCCTCTCTCCATCCATCTCCCTCTCTCCAGCCCCTCCCCCCCCCCTCCCCCCCCCCTTCCCCCCCTCTTCTCTCTCCACCACCATCTATTTTGAACCATCCCCCCATCCTTCGCCCCCACCCCTCATTTATTTGCCCCTTCTCTATCGTGTTGTTCCCTTCTTGCCTGCTGCTCATTTCCTATTTTTCTGTATCTGTCCGTATCACTGTCCCACTCCCTCTCCTTGCTCCCTTCCCTCATCTTGCTCCTCGCGCTCCTCGCCCCCATCTCCCTCATCTCTCTCACTCCCTGTTTTCCCTCCTGCCGTCGTGTGACTCTTCCTCATTCTGCCCCGTCTCCCAGCGAGTTCTGGGACGTCTCAAATCTCGTTCCTCCCTCCTCCACTCCCCTCCCGTCAGGGTCTTCCAGTACCGTATGTGTGTTCCTATGAACCACGTCCCTCTTATCAGGCTCATGTCCAGGCACTCGCATTCGTGAATCGTGCCGCACCATGCTGAACCACATTGAACCAACTCAAGTCAGACATGCCCTGGACAGAAGCGCATGAGTCAGATTTGTACCCGGTCAGTCATACTACGCTCTGAAGTGAGGTGAACTAACATCCGTGCATATCAGGATTCAGGAGTTGTAAAACACCCTGATAGCTTGGGAATTAGAAATTTGTCGCATCTTTCAGCCCCACTCCACCCACTCCCCTAGCCTCTCCCAGCCCAACCCCCACCCACTCCCCTAGCCTCTCCCTGCCCACTTCCCCCACTTCCCTTCCCTGTCTCCCCCACCCAGCCCAGCTCCCCGTGTTTTCATCACATATCCCAGCCCCATTCCCCCTGTTTCCTTCTGCCGCAGCCCAACTCCTTTTCGCCTACATTGTGCGGAGCAGGCTACATAGCAAGCTGACAAAACAAATCTAAACGTGGCCAAACCCACACAGATTCCAATCTGTACAGAAGTTTATTTGTCAAAAGCAACACTGTTACACTGCAATGCAAGGCTACAACAAGAAACACGTAGAAACACTAGAAGCAAGCCGCAGATTTGAAGCATTCTTGCATATACCGTACATGCTCTACTAGGCTTGCCGAAGGTTCCTTTCCCTGTACAGGTTTATTTCTCGTATCAGCATTTTCCTTCTCTCTAACTCAGCACTCTCAGCAGCACACCTATGGCACGGATGCTGTGGTTTGTGTTCTTGCTGAGGTTGCTGATGCTGCTCCTGCTCCTGTTGCTCCTGCTCCTGTTGCTCCTGCTCCTGTTGCTCCTGCTCCTGTTGCTCGTGCTCCTGTTGCTCCTGCTGCTCCTGCTGCTGCTGCTGCTCCTGCTGCTGCTGCTGCTGCTAATGCTGCTGCTGCTGCTGCTGCTGCTCCTGCTGCTCCTGCTGCTCCTGCTGCTGCTGCTGCTCCTGCTGCTCCTGCTGCTCCTGCTGCTTCTGCTGCTCCTGCTCCTGCTGCTTCCACCTGTGACTACTTCCCAAGTTCAACTCGCCCAAGTCAGCGCTTCTAGAATCAGCTACATGTACCCCAGAAATACCAGGAGGGGGACTGATGTCTAAAGAAGAATTCCTTGCGTGTGATCTTCCAACGACCTGGCAACTCTTAGTCAGCTCGCCCAAGTCAGCGCTTCTACTAGAATCGATTTGGCAGCTTGGCAAACCAGGATCCTCACATGCAGGTAGATTCAGGTCAGGGACGACCACTCGAGAACAAGGAGGGTTATCAACGCGTGTCCGTCCTTCCATTAGCTGCATTTGCTCGCGTGCATGCTGCTGCATGAGCTCTCCTGCACATCCCTCCACCAGTTCGGCTTTGTTGCATTCATAGCCAGGTGCAACACAACATTTTTGAGTCGCCTCAAAAGCCAGTTCGGCCTTGCTGTATCCAAAGCCAGGTGCAACACAGCCATTTGCTCCGGCATCGACTTGAAGCAGCGGCTTACTTTGAGGCGCCTCAGAACTTGACTCCTCCACTTCGGCTTTGTTGTGGCCATAGCGAGCTGTGAGATCTTGAGACATGTTCCGGCGAGCTGTGATGCAACGTTTCGCTCCAGAATGGGGTTGAAGCACAGGCTCGGCAGACAGCACAGTGATTCCGAGCCTCTCCCTGCTCCGGACGTAATCCGCCCAACTTGGTCCCGGTGCGTTGCAATTCGACGTGACTGCAGCACAACTCTGCCGTTTCACAAAACCATCAGTTTCTTGCATAGGCCGCGCGATCCCAACAAAAGGTGGCTCCCGTTCGGGTCCCTTGTTGTGTTGTTGAGCGGCGGTTGTCGTGTTGGCCACTTCGGCAGTCATTCTCGCCTTGACACTGGATCCTGCTGGCATGGCTGTGGGGCTGGCTGCTGCAGGAGTTGATGCACAGGCACTGATTATGTTTTGAGTCGACTTTGCAGGGCTGGTTGCCGCAGGAGTGGCTGCTGCTGCTGGCGTGGCTGCGGGGCTGGTTGCAGCAGGAGTTGACGCACAGGCACAGAAAATCCTGCGCTGACGCCAAGCATCGCTGGCAGTGGCAGTAGTACCGTCGCTGCGGTGGTCAGCCTCAGCATGGTTGTCGTCTCGGCCTCTCTTGAGTCGACTCAAAAGTCGCCGACCATTGCTGGCAGTAGCACCCGCACCCTCACTATGGTGGTCAGCGTGGTTATCGTCGAGGCCTCTCTTCATCCTAGGTACTCCTGGCGCGTGCTCTCTCACCAATGCTTTCGCCCAGTAACTCCGAGGCCTCATACTACCGGTAGTACTCACGAGAGATCCGACCCGATCCGATTCCAGTGGGTTGGATCAAGTGGACCGCGTTGCAAGGCGGGGAACTAGCGGGTTGACAGCCGCAAAGGGCAAGCGAGTGTCTAGAGTACCACTGAAGACTGCCAGACTCACAACCGAGGAGAGGAGGGGATGTCAGATGATTATATTACTGATGCATATATTTAGACTGTAGTGGGGTAGCCCATAGGGGGTACAACCCAATTAGGGTTGGTACTTGTACTTGTTTCATTTCATAGTGCACTCATTCCTCGCCTCTATCTCAACATGGTATCAGAGCAGGTTCCCTAGTGGGAACTGTTCCTAGGGCCCACCTACTATTCCGTCCTGCCCGGAGCGCGCTCTGCCCTAGCCCGAGTCGCGCTGGGCCTTTTTTTTTTTCCTTTGGCGGCCCGATCGCGTCGAGCCGCCCGCGAAATTCTAACGCACCACCTACGCAGCCTCGTCGCGCCGCCCCTAGACAGCCGCGCCGCGTCGCGCGTGCCGCCCTCCAGTCGCGCGCCGCCCCCCCTCTGACCCTCGCGACGCCGGCGCCGTCGCTGACGGCCCCGCGATCGCCTGCGACGGCCCTGCCGTCCCCTCTACCGGCCCCTCCGCTGCGCTTGACGGCCCCGCCGTCCCCTCTGCCGGCCCCGCCGTCCCCTCTGCCGGCCCCGCCGCTGCACCCGACGGCCCCGCTGTCCCCTCTGCCGGCCCCGCCGCTGCTTCAGACGGCCCCGCCGCTGCACTTGACGGCCCCGCCGTCCCCTCTGACGGCCCCACCGCTGCACCTAACGGCCCCGCCGTCCCCTCTGACGGCCCCGCCACTGCACCTACCGGCCCCGCCGCTACCCCTGACGGCCCCGCTGCTGCATCTTCAGGCCCCGCCGTCTCACCTGCCAGCCCCGCTGCTGTACCTGACGGCCCCGCCGCTTCACCTACCGGCCCCGCCACTACCCCTAACGACCCCGCAGCTGCATCTCCCGGCCCCGCCGCCCCAGCAACTGCGCCGCCCCAGCAGCCGAGCCGCCCCAGCAGCCGAGTCGCCCCAGCAACCGAGCCGCCCCAGCAGCCGAGCCGCCCCAGCAACCGAGCCGCCCCAGCAGCCGAGCCGCCCCAGCAGCCGAGCCGCCCCAGCAGCTGAGCCGCCCGAGCCGCCCGAGCCGCCGAGCCGCCCGAGCCGCCCGAGCCGCCCAGCAGCCGACCCGCCGAGCCGCCCGAGCCGCCCGAGCCGCCCGAGCCGCCCGAGCCGCCTGCACTGCCCTGTCTGGTGAGCACTGAGCTTTACTCTGCGCACTGCCCTTACCCCACTGCTGTCATGGCTACCCCCAGTGTCCTCACCTTCGACGCTGAGGGCAGAGTCATCGACTTTGACGTGTGGGTAGACGACCTGCTGCTTTTCCTACAGTGCGACAGAGCTGACGGCCTATCTCTTTGATCTCACTTCTGGTGCCTCTCCCGCCCCTGCTGCTACTGAGGATGCCACTTTTCGCTCAGTGTGGGCCACACGCGATGCTGCTGCACGTCTTGCTGTGCGTCGCCACCTCCCTCCCTCTGAGCGTGCACACTTTGGGTCGTACAAGAGTGCTCTGACCTTGTACGACGCCGTTATTGCACGCTACTCCACCCCTGCCACTGCTGCACTGAGCCGCCTCATGCTACCGTACCTCTTTCCCGACCTTGCTTCTTTTGCCACAGTCGCCGACCTCATTACCCACCTGCGCACTAGTGACGCTCGCTTCCGCGCTGCGCTTCCTACTGAGTTCTGCGCCAAGAACCCCCCCCCCAAGTACTTCACTCTCTACTACATTGTCACCCGCCTCCCTGACTCCCTCCGCGGAGTCAGGGACGACTTACTCTCAGTCTGCCCCACCACTCTCACTGTTAACCTCCTCGAGAAGTCCCTCCTAGCAGCCGAGAAGAGCATTCTCGCTGTAGGGGCCTCTCGTGGTGACCCGCGCACCCCCATCTTTGAGGGGTGTTCCCCCTCCCCCCTCCTGCCCTCTGTCGCCTCTGCTGCTACGGCCGACCTAGTTGGTTTTGAGTCGGTCGGTGCGGCGTCTGCCCCCAGTGGGAGACGTCGCTCTAGCAAGGGCAAAGGGGGCAGGAGCGGTGGTGGAGGCGGCGGGGGCGGTGGGAGCGGCGGTGGAGGCAGCGGAGGAGGTGGGGGTGGTAGCGGGAGTGGTGTCGGGAGTGGAGGTGTCAGCGGCGGCAGTGGAGGCGGGGGTGGCAGCGGCGGTGGTGGTGGGAGTGGAGGCGGAGGCGGCGGTGGCGGCAGCGACGGTGGGAGTGGCGGTGGCAGCGGAGGTGGTGGCGGCGGCGGCGGAGGAGGCGGCGGAGGAGGTCGTGGCTCGTCGCAGAGGAGTGGCTCCGGTGGCGGTCAGCGCCAACAGCAGCGGCAGCAGCGTGGTCAGGAGACCCTCTCCCCGCAGCAGCTCCGTGAGTGGTACGCTGCACGTCAGAGGGGTGGGGGTACTGGTCCGTGCACCTACGTCTTGCGCACGGGCGACCGTGCGGGTGAGCCGTGTGGTGGTCCACACCCCGCCCAGCGCTGCTTCGGCCGCCTGACTGACGCTTGGC